TGGGTTTTGATCTAAAATATTACAGATAAATATTAGTTAAGAGATGAACATGCTGTTAAGAATTTATGCACTAATTTCACTCTGTACAGACGTCCTGCAACAATAGACAGAAACACTCACACACACACACGCGCACACACATATATATATATATATATATATATATATATATATATATATATATATATATACACAGAGATATATATACACATGTCTGTGTGCCAAAGTATGTATACAGCAATGAGAAAGAAACGTATTGTGTTCAGTATGCAGCCATATCAATATTTGAATGCCTACTTTTACAATCCCTTGTTATACATATATATATATATATATATATATATATATATATATATATATATATATATATATATGATATATTTATGAGAGTGAAAGAATGAGAAACAAGCATTAAGGATTTGGCTAGCTAGATAGATAACGACAGCTGTCATAGTGAAAACGTTCACAAAATATATAGGAAGAAAAATAATTCAGAAATGTATATTGGCAAGAAAAATAAAAGCATTTAAAAAGAATGTAGGCAAGTGAACATCTCCTATATGGTAAGGAATGACTGCATCCGTAACAAAAAATATTTTCATCTTCAGACGTTCTACATAATCAGAGAGAATGCGTTTTCTTGCCACCTCAGCCAGCCGCAGTGGTGTAAAAATCAAAAAATAATACATGAAAAAAAGAAAATATATATATATAGAAAACTAAGTCCTTGTGAAAGCCAACGCTTTAGAGTCAATCCCGAGATTAAATCAACTCTAATGGCACCCGACGTTGCGAAAATACGCGAGTTTTTTTGGTTTGTATTTTTGCAGGAACCGAAAGGCAAGCTTCCTCTTTACAAACATACTCTCCTTCTATCAATTCGTGTTCCGTAGAAGTGATTCTAAAATCTTGAAATATCTTGCCCTATTTTTCCCGTCTCGTTTTTATACATTTATTGAATATGTTGCAAGTTGTACTTCGGTTTTTAGTCTTTTTCTGAGATTTACAAGACGGGACTATATACCGATATAAAATGGACGTAAATGGGCTAGACATTAAAGGTTCGAGTACAGGAATCCTTTGTATCTACTATGAAAATCATCATTCTCATAGACTAGGATCACTGACGATGGCGAAAATAAACAAAAACTATATTTGGTCCAAATAGATTAAATGTTTTTGAGTGACTTAATCTCGTGAATATGGCTCGTTTTTTGTAATGTTCATTTTGTGGGTTTGTTATTTTTCAGGATAAGTTTAGCTTTTTTAAGATTTTATGTAGTCGATTATTTTTTATTTAGTAGATTAATTCATTTAATTTTTTATTCGATTCCATTGGGGTAGTGTATTTCTTTATAAGTTTATATGTGTGTGTATTTCTTTATAATATGTATATATATGTGTATTTCTTTATAATCTGTATATGTATGTGTATTTTTTTATAATCTGTGTATGTATGTGTATTTCTTTATAATCTGTATATATATTTCTTTATATTCTATATATGTATACGTATTTCTTTATAATCTGTATATGTATGTGTATTCATTTATAATCTTTATATGTATGTGTATTTCTTTATACTCTGTATATGAATGTGTATTTCTTTCTATTCTGTGTATGTATGCGTATTCCTTTATAATCTGTATATGTATGTATATTTCTTTTTAATCTCTATACGTATGTGTATTTCTTTATAATCTGTATACGCATGTCTATTCATTTATAATCTCTATATGTATGTGTATTTCTTTATAATCTGTATATATATTTGTATTTCTTTATAATCTCTATATGTATGTTTATTTATTTATAATCTCTATATGTATGCGTATTTCTTTATAATCTGTATGTGTATGTGTATTTCATTATATTTCTCTATAATATATATCATTTCTATATAATAATGTATGTGTATTTCTTTATAATTTGTATATGTATGTGTATTTCATTATAATATTTCTAAGTGAAAATAAATCTTTACTTAAACATGTCATAAAGAAACACACTCTCCCAGTGGACTCGAACAAGTATAAACAAATGATCTGCTACAAAAAAGTTTTAAATCTTATCCTCAAAAATAACACACCCGCCAAATCAAAATTACAAAGAACTACATGCCTATCGAGACATCTTACGTCACTACTATCCGACCACAACTCCATCAGAACTCATATAAACATACAAGATTAGCATCCAAAACATACTAGTAGGAAATGCAAACATAATAACGTAATTCACACGTAAAAAAAGATTAAACAATGAAAACCTTAATAGTAACAAATAAAAACCTAACATTCAATAATATGAACTACGAATACGGCTACGATGTGGTGTGTTTGGAAAATAAAACATGTCATCTATCTAGAAATATACACACAACCCATAACTCCAGTTAAAAAAAAGTAAAAATAAAATCATCCTTGATAAAGGCTAAAAGTATCTCCGAAAACGCAAGGAATTACAGAACATTTGGATATTTTCTACGCACTGGTTCCAGAAAAGTAAACACTTGTTCAAATACAAGTTAATTCAATCAAAAGCTTAATCGGAATACCTTTTTCTGTTGTCTTTAATGGAACATGTATAAATGAGGGGTTGTTACAGAAATGCACACACACAAAAGCACACACACACACACTAACACGACCAATATTGTGGGGATGTCAACAGTGATGTAATTTATTCTAGGTTTTTGTGGTTCTCATCAGTTTTAAAAATCACTATGCAAGGATAAGCGAATGTGTCTAATTTTAAATGTTCTGTCATGTTCATGTAACCAATTAGTTAAATTGAGGTTAGGTTGGTCGATTTTCAAACATGGAAACTCTTGTCGGAAACACATACTCGCTTTAGAGATATGGAAATATTGATCGTTTATATGTGAGTCTAGAAGCATTCAGTTGGTTCGGGGATAGATAATGACTCACTCTGTTTGAATTTCTGGGAGGAAATTATTTCAAATTTGAATTTAATGACTATTGCTCTCTTTGTTTTTATCACAACGTTTCGGCCGGCCTTCATCAACTGCAGATTCAACAATAGGTAGATTAGGATTAAGACTCAAAGTTATATCCCTAGGAATGTCTCTATGGTCAGTTGTCTGGTAGAGAAAAAATGTTGGTACGTAACATATTAATATGTCCGTGTATACTTGGACTCAGGGCGAGCAATAACTGAGCAGTTCTAAATCGGCGAGATATCCGTAGATATAGCCAGCGGAACCAAAACAATCTCCACCTGTGGATTAAATGAAGTGTGCATTTCGAGATGAAGGTTAATCGGACAGAAACACACTTGGTAAGCCTCCCCCCTTTAACAGCTATATAAAACGAATAAAACAAGGACAACAGTAAAATAAAAGCAAAAGTAAACATTATTCGTTTTGATTTCAGTATTTTGTCCTTTTATTAGAAACAGTAAGTGTTTACTTGCTTCGTGTCAAGGGTATTTTGAGTCTAAAAGCATTATATTACTGTTTCTAAAGGGGCTTTACCAAGTATAGGAATAGCTAAATATTAGTCCTTTATTTTTGAAGGGATGAGCTATTGCGTCGTACGGGAAGGAGTAAATAATCCTAGATTTTATTTGTGTCAAAGAGTGTACTTGGTAGCCACTTTTGTAGACGGCTCACACCTTTGCTGGGTGTTCAAGCAGCCGCATTATCAAATGTCATAGTGTTGTGGAGTAAATAAGACACCGGTAACACACATGAACTAGGCAAGGCGCCTTTAATAAAGAACTCCAAGTGAGCCAGAAGTCCGTTGACATCAGTCGGAGTGAATTCTAGAGACGTCACAGCGAGTCCCTAAGCGAGACATAAATTTATAACGGATTGGATTGTGTTATAACACATACTAATTATTTATTTAGTTTTGATTATAGAATAACAAATGAAAAAAAATGAATGGATTTCCCACTTACCAGTAGTTTTTCTGTAGAAACAAATAGATCTGAAAATAAATACTAGTTTTATTAATTCCGACATTATTCAAATTTCTTATTATAAATTATAATTTATTATATATATTTATTATAATTATAAAGTATTACGGTTATTATAGAAATAGTGAATTAAGTAGGTCTTTCTCTACGAGGAACTAGCTACCGGCAAGTGAGCGACCTCACCGTCGCTGGAGGAATGTCTGCAAAAGGAACATAAGGGCGACGGGCATCGGCATCGAAAGGCTGGACGACGTCGCAAACGAACGTTCACGCTGGTGATGCCATTTATACCGATGGCTGGAGCGAAGAGAGATGTGAAACGAAGCCTTCCCGCCGGGGAAAAGCGTACTCTACAGAAAGAAAACAACAAGGCGGCATCCAAGGGGAGCGCCTTCACATGCATTCGTTGCAATCGACACTGTCACTCTCGTGTGGGCCTGTACAGTCATAACAGATGTTGCACTGCCATAAGAAACTGAAGCATATCTCTTTGGGCTCAGATCCAAGGCATGTCGAGACAATGGCTCGTGAATGTGGATGCATGGTGATTGCACGTTCAAACCCTGGACCAGGCTGTAGACTTAGATTTAATAGAAATAATGCGAATAATAACTGATCAGTACAAAATTAGAACAAGATGAGATATCCCTAGACATACACAACGAAAAAAATAAATTACACCTGTGGATTAAAGGTTTCACTTCGATAATGACCGAAGCTTCCCCGGAGTGAGACAATTCTGAAGAAGGCCGAAGCGCACAAGGACTGAAACATTTGTATAATAACAATAATGATGGTATTGCTCCGGAGGTAAGTAATAATAAATCTTTATCTCAGACACCCATTAAGTAATCACTAATAATTTTTTGAATTTTTTTATTTAGTGTAAATCATTTTACCTATTTTTCTCGATATTTGGAGGCAATTCTCATTTGCTACAATTTTGAGCTATATTCTATTAATATTAACATTATAATTAATATTAACATTATAATTAATATTAACATTATAATTAATATTAACATTATAATTCTGATATGCATCGCGCTAATGTTATGAGCACCAGCACTGAATTGGCAATGTTTTATATTCATATCTCTCTCTATCATTCTCTCTCTCTCTCTCTCTCTCTCTCTCTCTCGCTGTCTTTTATTCTCTGTCTTTTTTCTCTCTCTCTGTGTCTTTTTGTCTCTCTCTCACTCTCTCTGTGCCATTTTTTTCTCTCTCTCTCTGTCTTTTTTCTCTCTCACTGTCTTTTTTCTCCCTCTCACTGTCTTTTTTCTCTCTCTCTCTCTCTGTCTTTTTTCTCTCTCACTGTCTTTTTTCTCCCTCTCACTGTCTTTTTTCTCTCTCTCTCTCTCTGTTTTTTCTCTCTCTCTGTCTTTTCTCTCTCCCTCTATCGTTTTTTTTCTCTCTCTGTCGTTTTTTCTCTCTCTCTCTGTCGTTTTTTCTCTGTCATTTTTTCTCTCTCTGTCATTCTCTCTCTCTCTGTCATTGTTTTCTCTCTGTATGTCATTTCTCTCTCTCTCTCTCTCTCTCTCTCTGTCATTTCTTTCTGCCTTTTTTCTATCACTCTCACTGTCTTTTTTCTCCCTTCTTTTTCTGCCTTTTCTCTCCCTCTGTCTCTGTCTGTCTCTCTCTCTCTCTCTCTCTCTCTGTCATTTCTCTCCCGTTTTTCTCTTTCTGCCTTTTTCTCTGTCTTTTTTCTCATTTTTCTCTTTCCCTTTCTCTTTCCATTTCTCTCTATCTTATCTCTCTTTTTTCTCACTGTTTCTCTTTCCGTCTCTCTCTCTCTCTCTCACTACTATATATATATATATATATATATATATATATATATATATATATATATAATATGACGAATGTTGTTAAAATGTCATTATATTTAATCGGATTCCTTGTGTTATCTATTTAAATCACCGTTCAGTACACATTATAGAATAAAAGAATCGTTTAGCCTTAAAATTAGCCATTCTTTTCTTGTCGTGTATTGTATCCTATTTTGAAATTCTTTGTAACAATGCTTTGGACGGTGAAACTTCAATCTTTTCTAATTTAATCCAACGTTCATTTCTTCTTTTTGCTGTTTTTCTTTCTGTCTATCATTGTCACGCCGTTTATTGTATTTTGGTAACCATTGTTCTGGAAATTCATTGATTTCATGCTTTTTCGTCTTTGAATTATCGCTTTTTTTTAATATTCTAAGGATGGAATCTGTTTCGAAAATATTTTTTTCTCTCGCGATTGTATAAATTTATAAAATAATTTATAACTTATCATTCAATATGACTTTATCATCTCGCTTCATTTTCACATGAATATATATTAAAACACTTTAAAAAAAAAAAAAAAAATTTCAGCCCAAAGAAAACAATAAAGTTACGAAGACGCAATGAGCTACTGAATTTTAGATATGAGGAGAAAAATACCAAGGAAAGAAAATAATGAATGAACAGGGATTACGGAGAAAATATAATGATTGACATTGCTTTTAAATTTTTGAATATTGAAGTTGACTGGAAAGCAAGAAAACGAAAGTGTTCCACAAGCATTATTTACATTGTTAGGACTGTTATCCTCATCTTCGTTGCCATATTCATAACGTCTCGGACGTTGTACGCTTCGGCCTTCTTCAGGTGATTGGAATTTCGAACCGAACTCTTTATTTCGTCCACCTGTTTATAAGACCCAGGAATTCATACACCTATGTCTTCAAGGACACATGTCCTAATGGATAAAAGGCGTTGGTTAGATCCAGTGACTAGACCCAGAGAGTTCAATACCAGGCTACAGCAGAGGTGAACCAAAAATATTGGAAAGTTGAGTTAAAGAGAAATAACCGAGACATCCGGCAGAGGTATGGCACGTGGAACTAGAAAAATCTACGTTGGGAACGGAATAAAGGGTTCGGTTCGAAATTCCAATCACCTGAAGAAGGCCGGAGTGTACAACGGCCTAAACGTTGTGAATAAGGCTTTGAAAATGAGGATAACAGTCCAGATAGCGTAAATAATCTAAGAACGTTTTAGCATAGAATTTACGGCTACATTTAACCATTTCAACAGTAAAAGGATTAGAGACCTTTACACCAATTTAGTCCTACGCTTAAATTCATAAAGTATAGGTATCTTCATAGAAAAATTACCACGGACGTATCTATAGAAAAGGTACAGGGAAGGTACGTTACGACGGCGGGAAGCCGAGATGCCAGATCAGAAGTACTGGCCTTGCACATTCTTCTGTGGATGTTATCAAGTTTCTCCAAATATGGTATCAGTAATATAAATTTCGAAGCAAAGACGAATGGTAGACTTATGAATATGTAAGGTAGATTGAGACGAGAAAAAGAAACTGTTTAGCTCGAATCCAACTTTACTAGCATTTACTTAGCATTTCGATATTTCTTTGTGTTCATCGATTTCTGAAACCAGTAAGAAACATACGATCATACTTATTATAAAACCCAGGATGTGTGTGTGTGTGTGTCTGTACGTTTATATATTGGATAGGATTTCCTACATTTTTCAACCGATTTCAACAAAACTTCACTGGACTACGTAAAATTACATCGCGTTGGTTCTGACAGAATTGTTTTTGCACGAAATCAATTTGAAAACACGATTAAGAGGCATCGCGAGAATGAAAGGGGGACAACTCATATTGAGTTATACTTATTATAAAACCCAGGTTGTTTGTGTGTGTGTGTGTGTGTGTGTGTGTGTGTGTGTGTGTGTGTGTGTTCGTTTGTTTATGGGATCGGATTTCCTATATTTTTCAACCGATTCCAACAAAACTTCACATTTTCTTTTGCAGATAGTGTTTCTTATTGTCTTGACACTTTTTTCTTTATTTTTACATTCAGAATGCTTTAAAAATTCCATTTACAAGACAATTATTTATAATAAAAATATGTTCAATCGGTAGACACATAATGATTGGAAACAATGATTATGTTTGAGTTTGGGTTTGACCAATTCGTAAAAAAGAACAAAAACCAATTAAGACATGCTTGTCCGTCAACCTTAATTAATAATCTTTGTCAATTTTATTTTTCAGTCTTTATAATGGTCGATACTTGATCTATCTCTTACTGTTACATCCCCGGGCAACGGCGGGCTCTACTGTCAGTGTGAATCTAAGATCTCAACAGCCATTATAATAATTCGGGTTCTCTACGCAAAATGTATGAACACACCTTTTCTCCCTCAAGATATGGGTTAACGAGTAAAAATTGTATCGTTAAAAATCATTATCTCCAATGATCTTTATTGCAATATAAAAGTATTTTCTGGCTTTAACCGGTGATCACCCGTAGCAATCAAATCTATCAGTGAGAATACATTTGAAATTTCTAGGGTGAATCATGCGGAAAGAGGGCTTGGAAGATTAAATACTTAGAAGGCATAATGAAGAAAGGAATTGCAGTGGGGAAACAACGAATAAAATTTCATAGTTTATTTTATTTACGTTATTTGCATACAGCCTACAGAAAACAACAGCTGCAAATGGCAGACGATATACAGAGAATTGTCCTAGGGGTCAATAGCGCAGTGAATTGAAGCATTGGTTTGTGAATTTGGTGATACAGTGATTCTTGGGCCGAGCAGCGAGCAATGAAACTTGAACTCAGTAGAAACGGAGTGAACACTAACTGATCAGCACTAGAATAACTAGACTGGTTTATTCCTCGACATATGCATTAGAACGAGACATATCTATTCCAGTAGATTAAATAAAGGCTTTATTTCGGAAATTCCCTAGAGCCTACCTGAATCGGCATATACCTGACAAATAACCGTGGACACATCCGTCGAAATATAACAGCAGCAAAAAGGTTGGCAATAGTCCGCTTGTAAATAATAGAAATAAAACAACTCGTCACAGAAACTTAAAGGGTAGCTTAATTTAGCAATGCTGTGTCAACGATATCAGTTTTACCACAATTTTACAATTATGTAACTATTTTTCAAAGCTAGTTAAGTCTGTTTTAAATGCATCAGTTGATAGAGTTTCCCTTCCTGTCACATAATTTTTTCATTAGTTCACTGCATTATCATGATATTATCTTTGTTCTTTTTCAATTTTATTCAATTTTCCTCGCTAGGCTAATGGTCATGATTGATGGCGCTAGTGCTCGTAAATCTGAATGAAAGTGAAAATGAGTGCTTAAAAATAAGCATTATCAGTCATCCTGATATTGCAGTGAACGCTGGTCAATAGGTAGAGGGAATTTGAGGGAAAAAATGTGGGTTTACAGTGGGAGGCTGAGAATACCATGGCCAGAGAATGTAAGCAACGAGGAAGTTTTAAGGAAATTATAAAGGGAAAGAACACTTAGAATTGGAAACAGAAATAGACAGTTGAAATATCTAGGACATTATGAGGAAAGGAAGGTTAGAACATTTGAAACTCACAGGAAATAGTGAAAGCAAGAAGGACAAAAAATGAACTAGGATCCTTTTATAGATTACCTTCCGTGTCTGCTATCAATACTGTGTTATATGCATACCTTATGTTGTTAAGATTATGGCCGCCAATAAAGATTCGTGTTAGAACTTCAAATTCTATCAAAATTGCCTCGCTGTATAGGTTGAATAAGTCTGGTCAGAAAGACACATCCTTGTCTTACACTCCTTTCTATTTTTGTATATCTCCTGAACCATTTCGGCATACACATCTTAAAACGAGGCTGCCTCTGTTGATGTGTATTTTGTTTCATTTGTATTATAATGACTTCGAGTATTTTGAGTAATTCTTTCAGTAATTTCTTTATGGCAATGATGTATTTGTCTCGATAAAAGGCAACGATCTATAAAATAATCCTCGGTTAAAAAAGGCGTTCTTCATGAATTCTCATATCCTTAGTGGAATTACTTCTCGCATAGCAAAAGATTTTTAAAAAAATCTGGTGGCAAATAAATCGCTTTTAATAATAAATTAAAATAATTACATTGCATTATAAATACTTTTATCATAATTATTTGGATGAGCTCTTCGCTATGGTACCTAGACCTTTTGAATTTAAGCGCAATACTAGACAGGCGTCGAGAACTCATCAATTTACAGTCGAGCTGGATATATGCTTCCGTAAATTCTATACTAACCTTTTCTTTTTTAGCTTTTGAAACTTCCTTCCGGCTCCATGCATTTTATCCAAATTTAATCTTCAAAAAAATAATCCAATCGGTATCTACTGTCCTCCTGAATACACTTCTTTTGTTCTCGTTCAGTAATTTTTCTGTTTCTAATTCTTCCACACTGTTGTGTCTTAGTGGCTTTAAAGCCCTGCTTGGGGCGAACTCGATTAAATAATAATCTGGGGAACATGGGAACTATTGCATTAATCTGGTGAAAACCGTTTTTGGTTACGATTAGCAATAGACAGATTTGGAACGAATGAAGGAGTGTTGGCTTGTATGAATATATTCTTTAGCTGCAACCATTGTAGTTGTTGCCTGTGATATTCAGAAACCACCTTTCAAAAAAAAAAGAAGCTTAATTTTCTGCATTTATGTTGAACCCTCATAAATTTTTCAGGTACCTATAATTATGCCTCTTAAAATACAAGCACATTTCTTTTTTCTGCTTCCTTTTGTTTTCTAAAGACCGTTTCAGTCTAAAACATACCCAAGTGCCGACGCCGGATACGATCTCCTCCCGTCATATGCTAACTAAGACTAAAAACACAATATCTAAACAAAATGCGCAAGACTGGCTTACATTTCCATTCGACATACTACGCAGCAATTGCATTTGCAAACAAATATATTCAGGCGTAGTTAAGAACGTATGAACTTTGGAGCAAGTGAAAAACTCAATGTGAAACACTTTATGGGATGCACGAGTGACAATAAGAAAAGAAGTTATCTTAGGGAGAGAAAGAGACGAAAAAAAGACATGGAATTCTCAAACAATGGCGACGAAAAGAGAACGAATAACGACAAGAAATGGCGCAGAATATATCAACTTGAACAAACGACTCGATGTACACAGATAAAAAAAAAAAAATTACTAAAATACAGAATGCAGATGTAGTAGTTAGGTCCATAAAGAAAGAATGGTGCGGAAATGTAACTCCCTGGATAGTGTAACAGACGACAGAAAGTATGACAGAGAAACTCAAAGTTGCATAAGAATAACAAAAGATGGCTTCCAGAAACAGAAAAAAAATATTAAAGGATAAGAAATGTGCTGGAAAGATATATATTATCCAACTTTCTTTGTTAAATTAAGAAGTAAGTTGAAGTCACAGATATGGTTCTAACTATGAATGTTGACAATACCATAGCGTGCGATCTGTGCCTAGATATTCTACTCTATGTTCCATGTCGTTTCAGGACGCTTGTGATCTCCACAATTTTCTGTCATTTATATCTCAACAATAGGAAAAAAATGGAATCCTTGCTTAGGTTGAGAGTTTGATAGTGGTCATTAAAAACCAACCTTGATTATTATTCTATTTTCTTGTTACTGAGTGACTATTTTCCATTTTTAAAATATATTAAATCCACAGACGAATATTTTGATGTATTCGTTTGTTAAATATCGCTCTTGATATCAATATGTTTCTAATTAGCTATTTTAAAATCTATGTGCAGTATTCCTTCACGGTGATAGCTCGCCACATTTTTGCCTTTTTGTTATCTCTCCCAAACCTTATTCTGCCTTTCATTTACTCAAACTCTATAGATAGGTTATGTGTTGTTTTCCTCTGTACCTTTCGCCTTCAGTCTGTCCTGTGAGTGTCAAATTTCCAAGCTCTCTTTCCTTCTCAGGTGCCTTAAAAAAATCTTCTGTCTCTTCCAGATATTAATTTTAACTCTCCATTTTGTTTCTATTTTCCCCAAAACTTCGCCGTTGCCTACCTGTTCAGTTCATGATTATCTCCATATTTCTTTGCTATATTTTTTCATTTGAGAGGTACTTAGATATTATTCATTACGGATCCATATGAAAATATCGATACATCCGACAGCAAGGCCTCAGATCGGATGATTGGAGGTTTTTAGAAGCGTGGAACCACAAATTATTAGCTGTGGTTCCCAGATTCATCCTGTTAGGGACCCTGCTATGAGAAAATAGACTTTTGAATGTTTCTTTGGTTGTTAACTAAGAAAGTATAAAATACATGCTGGTAAAAACACCAGCAATATATTTATAAGAAAATGACATGCCGTAATACATTTTATAGCAAAATATCAATCAGTACAGCAGTAAAGTATGACAATACATTTTTATAGCAAAATATCAATCAGTACAGCACTGAAGTATGACAGTGCATTTTTATAGCAAAATATCAATCAGTACAGCACTGAATTATGACAGTGCATTTTTATAGCAAAATATCAATCAGTACAGCAGTAAAGTATGACAGTGCATTTTTATAGCAAAATTATCAATCAGTACAGCACTAAAGTATGACAGTGCATTTTTATAGCAAAATATCAATCTGTACAGCACTAAAGTATGACAATACATTTTTATAGCAAAATATCAATCAGTACAGCACTGAAGAATGACAATACATTTTTATAGCAAAATATCAATCAGTACAGCACTGAGGTATGACAGTGCATTTTTATAGCAAAATATCAATCAGTACAGCACTAAAGTATGACAGTGCATTTTTTTTTTATAACAAAAATATCAATCAGTACAGCACTAAAGTATGACAATACATTTTTTTTATAGCAAAATATCAATCAGTACAGCACTAAAAGTATGACAGTGCATTTTTTATATCAGTACAAAATATCAATGCATTTTATACAAAAGCACTACAGTATGACAGTGCATTTTTTATAGCAAAATATCAATCAGTACAGCACTAAAGTATGACAGTGCATTTTATAGCAAAATATCAATCAGTACAGCACTGAAGTAGGACAGTGCATTTTATAGCAAAATATCAATCAGTACAGCAGTAAAGTATGACAGTGCATTTTATAGCAAAATTATCAATCAGTACAGCACTAAAGTATGACAGTGCATTTTATAGCAAAATATCAATCAGTACAGCACTGAAGTATGACAATGCATTTTATAACAAAAATATCAATCAGTACTAAAAGTATGACAGTGCATTTTATAGTAAAGTACAGCACTGAAGTATGCATTTTTATAGCAAAATATCAATCAGTACAGCAATTAAAGTATGACAGTGCATTTTATAGCAAAAATATCAATCAGTACAGCACTGAAGTATGACAGTGCATTTTATAAAAATATCAATCAGTACAGCACTGAAGTAGGACAGTGCATTTTATAGCAAAATATCAATCAGTACAGCACTGAGGTATAAAGTATGACAGTGCATTTTATAGCAAAATATCAATCAGTACAGCACTGAAGTATGACAGTGCATTTTTACTAAAATATCAATGTACAGCAGTAAAGTATGACAGTGCATTTTTATAGCAAAATTATCAATCAGTACAGCACTAAAGTATGACAGTGCATTTTTATAGCAAAATATCAATCAGTACAGCACTAAAAGTATGACAGTGCATTTTATAAAAAAATCATCAATCAGTACAGCACTGAAGTATGACAGTGCATTTTATAGCAAAATTATCAATCAGTACAGCACTGAAGTATGACAGTGCATTTTATAGCAAAATATCAATCAGTACAGCACTAAAGTATGACAGTGCATTTTTATAGCAAAATATCAATCAGTACAGCAAAGAAGTATGATTTTATGCAAAATTCAATTACAGCACTGAATGGGACAGTGCATTTTTATATAAAATATCAATCAGTACAGCACTGAAGTATGACAGTGCATTTTATAGCAAAATATCAATCAGTACAGCACTGAAGTATGACAATGCATTTTTATAGCAAAATATCAATCAGTACAGCAATAAAGTAGGACAGTGCATTTTTATAGCAAAATATCAATCAGTACAGCACTGAAGTATGACAATGCATTTTTATAGCAAAATATCAATCACTGAAGTATGAATCATTTTATAGCAAAATATCAACAGCACTGAAGTATGACAATTGCATTTTATAGCAAAATATCAATCAGTACAGCACTAAAGTATGACAGTGCATTTTATAGCAAAATATCAATCAGTACAGCACTGAAGTATGACAGTGCATTTTATAAAAAATATCAATCAGTACAGCACTGAAGTATGAC